GCATGTTGAATGTTAGACACTCAACACTCGACACACCAGTTATTTCATCTGTGGCGTCATAGATCAAACTGTACCAGCTCGTACACAAACTGGGCCCAGAGCAGCCGTGATATCGACCCGCCGCTCCCTCAGCTCGCTGCGGTTGCTCTGATTGTAAAGAGACCCGAAGCAGCAATACGATCTCGTCGCCACAGAGACAAAAAGCCTCGGTTCTGAGTGAGTCCAGGTTCTGGCTCAATGTGGCCTGGGGTATTAAATACAAGGTGAAAGGTATCTCTCGAGGGTGGCGGTACATTCCTTCGAAGGAAAGTTACTGGCACACAAACGAACGGCTAAAACTGAGCTGAGAGGGTTAAAGAATGCATTGAATTCCTCCGATTGTTGCAGGAAAAAGATTAAACACATAAAGAGGAAAAAGCAGTGGTGGGCACAGCTGACCAACAAAGTTGGGTTCACTAATCACTACGGGTGCAACGATACAGAAAAGTCAGGATTCGGTTCGATACTTTAGTCTCACGGTTCAATATTTTTTCAATATAAAAAAGAGAAATGTCCATGCACTTTTAAACTTGTAATTTATTTAAATTAAGTATGAACATTTGTTTAACCTCAAAAATACAATTTTTAAATTACATGTTGGTGTTTCTCAGTGCATCTGTGCTCAACAATGCAGCCTAGGTAGAGTAGTCGAACACAGATCCACTGATCCTTCAACACAGAGCATCTTCAGAAAACAAGTTGATAAAATAAATGTTAAAAATCTGTATTACTCCATACATAGTGTGTATTGAACCTAAAGCCCTGTATTGAACGGTTCGATATGGGTACATGTATTGTTGCACCCTTACTAATCATTAATGTGGTAAACAAGAATCTTCACTCCGCAAACTCTAAACTGATAAACAGATAGAAAATTAGAGGAAGCTAACGCTAACCGCTACATGAACTGTCAGTTTGTGTCACTCGTCTGACTGATGGGCCTGACACAAACCTATTGTTAGTTTTCTATTGGTTTAATTAGAAGGTGGGTGGGTCCCCTGTGGAAAATCAGACAAATAAAACCAGTTAAAGCCCTGTCTAACTTGTGATACTCTGTTTACCCCTTTTAGAATAAAAGCATTTCTTTGATTAAGTTTGTATTTTTATAAATACAGTCTGAGGTTAAGGCCTCCACGTATTCCATCCGAGCTGCAGAGATTGGCTCTCGTATTTACTGCAGCAGCAGGGTCTCCAGGAGCTCAGTGTATCTCGGGGATTATGGAAGGTGTGTGTGTAAATGAACGTTGACTGTTCGGCTTTGGGTGGTGTACAATGGACCCGTTTAGTCAAACAACAAATAGCAAATACTTTTGCTACCATATTTGACACAGTCAATTTTTGTATTTGCTATTTTAATATTGCTAAATGTTATTTTAGTTCTTTTTGATGCTCTTCAGTTTAGCAGCTAAAGATGCTACATGCTACACACACGGTGCCTGTCATGTCCAGCACTGCTTTTAGGAGGTGATAGCTTTTATTTAATTTGGGATCAAGGCCATGAAAATAGAAGTCTTACACTTGTGAAATTTTTTAGTGGACTTAAAATTAAAAAAAGCAGATTCCAAACTTAGCAAAACAGCTAATCTGCTAAACGAGAAGCTAAGTTAGTGGATTAGTTGAACTGTGCCAACCACTTGAAAAGAACATATCCACAACTTATCCAGTAGCACTGGGAAGTGGAAATTTCCTTTGCTTCCATTTGTAAATTTAAACTGTGGTAAATCCCATTCTTTTAGTGGGAGTGACTGCGACTACCCCCAGTTTTGATTTCAAGGTGGCGGCGACTCTCAGCTTGAGTAAGTTAACTCTGTAACTTTTACTGTTAATTTTTGTTCTTAATATTTTTATGCACGTTTAATCACAAGTAGCATGTTTTCTGTCCATACTGTACATTGTATAATCAATGTTTATTTGCATGACATACATAGTAAAGCTCTCTTTTTGTCATTGTTTATATTGCAGCAGTGTTGTAGCTAGGTTAGCGGCAGCAGTACAATCACCTGTGAGCTAACCTGAATGCAGTTTCATATGGTTTGTTGGGAAATTATGTCACTACCATTTACCAGTTCAGAAATACGATATAAGTGGAACGCACCATTATACTGGCTCTGTGTCCATCTAATGAATTGTTGTGAAAAGTGGAATTACAATCCTGAAAACTTAGTAACAGCTTAAAATAAATGTAAATCTGAGACTGCACAATCTTGCTCCAGAACACTTTAACGAAATCCCGGTTTGAACGTTAATGTTCTTTTTTTTTTGTTTTGTTTTACATTCCAAGCTCCACGTCTCCACAAAGCCTTGTGCCTCTGTGAGCAAAGAAGAGAAAAGCTGAACCGAGACAGATCTGCAGCTTCTGAATTCTCTCCTCGAGTCTCAAGTTTCAAATCCGCGTCTTAAGTCTTTATTCTTCTGGCTCTCCTTCGTATGGAGGACCAAACCTATCATTATTGGAAATAAATGTATAAATATATAACTGGCGTATTAAAATAAATTATAGGGTCAAAAAGAAGTTTGACAAATAAATTATTGTGCCATTAAATCAATTACATCAATTATTTAGATATAAATGTGTATTTACATTTTAATTTTGAAGGATTATATTTTCTCTATGTGCTTTATCGCATATTTTTTGTTTAAGTTTATTCATTACAAGTACATTTGTTGTAATTTGACTTTTCCAAGCCATTATTTTCTTCTTTCACATTTATCACCAATCACATATATTTAAAACATGCTTTTTCACCTAATAATATTTTATTTCTCAAATTATTTTATCGTTCTTTTTTTTCTTAAACACTGATATATTTTCTTCTATTATATACCTTTGTTGTATATTTTTACCAAACACATTTCCCTGAGCCCATTTATTTTCATCTCTTTTTTTGACATTTCTTGCTGGCTGTATTGTCTTTTCCAGCTCTACATGCAGCAGGGAATGTAAAAACAGAGGAGGCGGTCTTAAGAAAAGCGTCACCGCCCCTGCTTCTCGCCTATTGGCCGAGGTCTAAGCTAAACTAGACCTCGGCCAATAGGCGAGAAGCTGGGGCGGTGACGCTTTTCTTAAGACCGCCTCCTCTGTTTTTACATTCCCTGCTGCATGTAGAGCTGGAAAAGACAATACAGCCAGCAAGAAATGTCAAAAAAAGAGATGAAAATAAATGGGCTCAGGGAAATGTGTTTGGTAAAAATATACAACAAAGGTATATAATAGAAGAAAATATATCAGTGTTTAAGAAAAAAAAGAATGATAAAATAATTTGAGAAATAAAATATTATTAGGTGAAAAAGCATGTTTTAAATATATGTGATTGGTGATAAATGTGAAAGAAGAAAATAATGGCTTGGAAAAGTCAAATTACAACAAATGTACTTGTAATGAATAAACATAAACAAAAAATATGCGATAAAGCACATAGAGAAAATATAATCCTTCAAAATTAAAATGTAAATACACATTTATATCTAAATAATTGATGTAATTGATTTAATGGCACAATAATTTATTTGTCAAACTTCTTTTTGACCCTATAATTTATTTTAATACGCCAGTTATATATTTATACATTTATTTCCAATAATGATAGGTTTGGTCCTCCATACTATGGAGCCTATAATTTATTTTAATACGCCAGTTATATATTTATACATTTATTTCCAATAATGATAGGTTTGGTCCTCCATACCTTCGTTTCATCTTCATCTTCTTGTCTGCTCTAATCTGCTTTCCCAGCGTGGCAGATTTAGCTCTTTACCCGCGTCCAGACAAAGCATTGAAATGGTGAATAAATGAGGAGTACTTTTAGTTAGGGATATCCATCTAGGTAATAAACACAAGCCAACACTGAGAACATAAAAATAGTTAGAAATAGGGCCTAAGCTGAATTAGAAAATAAGTTTTTGGTACAACGAAAGGACTAAAATACATTTCATATAAAGCAAGTTGTATTCATTTGAATAGATTCATGATTTAGATGCACAAACACAAATCCTGTTTTTTATTACAGAAAAGGGCTGTGAGAACTATTAATGGAAAACATTGCTGTCACCCATCAAATTCATTATTCTGTAAATTGAAAATATTGAAGTTCTTTGATTTGGTTGATTATAATATTCTACTGGTTATGTATAAGGCCCACAAAAACACATTAGCTTTAAACATCCAAGTAAATTTTGTTTAGAGAAAGAGTTGTTATAACCTTAAAGGGACAGAGATATTTGTAAAACCCAAATTCAGAACTAGTTTGAAGGAACGGTGTACTTTAATTCAAGGAATAAAACTGTGGAATAATTTGGGGAGAGATGTAAAAAATGCAGGATTATTATGTACATTTAAGAAAATGATAAAAGCTGGATTGTTAAAGAAATACGAAACAGTATAATCCATATAAATTGTTGTTCTAGAGGGATTAGATGCTCTTGTCTTTTGTTTTGTTAATAACAGATTTTTTTATATGAACTTATTCTAGCAAAAGGGGCGGATATTATAAGAGTTTTTTCTCTCTCTGCCGCCTTTCGTTTCATTTTATTTGTGATTTTGATATACATATATATTATTTTCTCTTATTTTTCTTTTTATACTTTTCTTTTTATTGTGTATTGTATATAAAATTATTTGTTTTGTTTTAGTGAAATGAATAAAGAATTGAAAAAAAAATACCTAAACATTTTTTACCCCCTCTCTTTGAGACAACAGGTGCTTAGAGTTGACAGAAGAATAAAACAATCTGGCTGCAGTCAGCAGAGCTCCATGCAGCTGATACTGAGGTTTGATTTCAACTCAAGAAAAACATTCTTGACTTGTTCTTCATTTTAGAGCAAGTTAAAGAAGTTACAGACTTTGTGCCCTGTAGAAACAAGACTTTTCACATTTGTGTCTGGGAACAAAATGTATCCATCGCACTTTTCAAGACTGAAAATCACAGTTTTCAGTCGTCAACAGTGGAAGAGTGGCTGCTCACCTCGTCCCATTCTGACGTGAAAGACGGTGATTTTTCCAGCCTCTTCTTGCCGGTGCTGCAGTTGGAAACGGACTCGCTGCGGTTCCCCAGTCCCCCTTCCTCCTCACCGGGAGGCGACACGAGCAAGTCCGAGTCCGACTTGGAGAGGCTGCGTGCCAGCTTCAGGTCTCCGGGAGGACGCATCCTGACCCCGGATCCTGGCCCCAGGTCCCTGTGCTCTTTGTTCACCGTGGCGTAGATTGCTTTTGGGTCGCAGTCTGTCAGGATGGCGGCCATGCTGGGTCGGTGAGTTGGCGGCGAAGCAGCCGGGACTTGCTCCTTCACTTTGGTGGCTTTCTTTGCCTCTTGCTGGCCCTGGTTGGGTGGCGGAACACCCGGAAGCCTGAAGGCGTCCTCGCGGCAGTCGATGACGGGAGAGGACCCGTGCAGGAGGCCGGTGAACTGCTCCGGGACACCTGCTCCCTGGTCCTGGCTGAGCTGGGAGTTGTCTGGGAGAGAGAAAGGGAAACGGAAAAGTTATGGACGAAGCCAGCAGAGAAAGAATGCCGCGCGAGGAGGGAAGAGAGCAGACTTCCATGTGAAGGGCAGATCCTTAGAGCGGGGCTAATAAGAAACCACCCACACACCCTGAAACAGATCTGCAATTGTTTCCTATGGAGAGTGACGGAGAGAAGAGGAGAGAGCAGAGTGAGAAAAGGGCGTCTGTTGGAAGGAGAAATGAGGGAATTCCAAACCCAGCTTGCAGCCGTCTGACAACTCTCTGTTTTTTTCTTCCATGGAGTTGAAGCAAAAGAGCTCTACATTACAAAACTCAGTTTTACGTAAACATAAATACAAACTGTAAAACTCACTTATAGAATATCTCTGAATGATGAGAAACTTACATTTGCAGCCTTCTCCCGCAAAAACAGGTCCCTTAATAAGGCAAGTGCAATTAAACACAATTAAACTTCCCTCCTCCCGCTCTCAGAGGAATTACTGCCACTTAAGCTCCTTTTCCGCTACCAAATCAGCAGCAGCTCAGCCGTACCAGTTTGTATCTGATATTTAGCTTCAGAATACAAAAAAATAAAAAAAAACACCAAAAACAAAGAACAAACGAAACAAAACACCAGCCTGGCCTATGTTCGGAGGCTGTCTCCCTTGTCCTACTGCGTCGAAGTCTTCTTTGTGACTGGCGGTTTCTGCGTCTTCTGGCTTCTAATTCTAGACCCGACGGGTGGCTCAGGAATGGAAATTTGAATCACCCAATCCTCCAGCAGAGCCGGAGTCCTGATAATTAGTTCTCTAACACATGGTGGAGGAGTGTGTGTGTGTGTGTGTGTGTATATGTGTGTGTGTGTGTATACAGACGCTGCCAGGATGCGAGGGTTGGGGTGTTTGGTGACGGGAATTCTTGGGCAGGGAAACTAATGACCTGTTGCGACACTTTTATTTGTCCTTCACAAGTCAGAGCTGCACGTGCAGCTGTCCCCTTCACCTCGCTGTTCTACAAAAGGAAAAAAAAAATCATCCGCAATCTACTTTTTCTTACATTTCAGGGACCATTTGCAGCCGGGGCGGGAACCGAACCCCACCCTGACCACTTTGACACGCAGAAAAAGTGTGTGTGGAGGCGTGTGTGTGTTATTAGGGGTGAGCGACTGTGCTGTACACACGTCGAGATCACAGCCAAACACCCACGCTCCTGCAGGCAGCTGGGGAGTGTGAACGCCCTGTGAGCACATCAGCTAGCTTCCAACAGCTCCAGACAGCTTTATTTTCCTGTGGAAAACATGCAATCAGATGTCGAGTCGTTCAAAGGACTGAGCTCACCGCGGAGGCTGGAGTGTGTTTTATCTGGCAGCTACTATCTGACCAATGATGTCATGTTCTTTGGTTTGAAGAGGCAGTGTTTGCCGTCTCCATCTTCTGAACTGCCCAAAGTAAATTTATGTTCTGTCTGTAGAAAACTAAGCTCAGATTTTAACTTCAGAGTAAGAGACGTTCTGTTCTGTCAGTCAGACGATGCGATGTATCAATGGGAAGCTTAGAAGGCAGTTTTATTGATATGTGATTGTTTACAGTAAAGAAAGCAACCAAAAACCTTCACTGACACTACCAGTGAATATAGAATAATCAAACCTATACAGAATGTCAGCATGTAAAAAAAATAAATAAAAACATATGAGCAAACTGAGGATTAGATCAAATTTACTGTTTAACTTCAACAAAACCATCTGGATAAAGGAACAGTTACATTCCTGTATCCAGATGGTTTGTGTTCATGCTACAGTTTTTGGTGCAGTTTACAACCCTCATTCCAGTGAAGTTGGGACATTGTGTAAAACACAAATTAAAGCAGAATACCATTATTTGCAAATTTTTTTTAACCTACATTCAATTGAATACACTTCAAAGACAAGATATTTAATGTTCAAACGGATAAACTTTGTTTTTATTGCAAATATTCACTCATTTTGAGTTTGGTGTCTGCAACGTGTTCTAAAAAAGCTGGGACAGGAGCAATAAAGACTGGGAAAGTTGAGGAAAGCTCAAAAACACAGGTGAACAGGTTCATTGGAAACAGCTGTGTCATGATGGGAGCACCCCTGAAAGGCTCAGCCGTTCATAAGAAAGGATGGTGGGAGGTTCACCACTTTGTGAACAACTATGTGAGCAAATAGTCCAACAGTTTAAGAAAGTTCCTTAATGTACAATTTCAAGGAATTTAGGGATTTCATCATCTACAGTCTGTAATATCATCAAACGATTCAGAGAATCTGGACAAATTTCTGCAAGACCGAAAACCAACACTGAAGGCCCATGACCTTCGAGCCCTCAGACGACACTGCATTAACAACCAACATCATTCTGTAACAAATATTAACACATGGACTCAGAAACACTTCAGAAAACCATTGAACACCGTTTGTCTCTACAAGTGGAAGTTAAAACTCTACCCTGTGAAGCCAAAACCAGATATCAACAACACCCAGAAACACAAAATATGACAACAATGGCCTCTGACTGTTGAACAACTGAATCCATACATCAAACAAGAACGGGGAAGAATTCCACCTACAAAGCTTCAACAATTAGTGTCCAAAGTTCCCAAACACTTACTGACTTAAGTAAAGCTGATGTAACATTGAGGTAAACATGTCCCTGTCCCAGTTTCTTCAAAACATGTTGCAGGCATCAAATTCAAAATGAGAGAATATTTGCAAAAAAAAATAAAGTTTTTATTAAACATCTTGTCTCTGTAGTATATTCAAATTAACTTAGGTTGAAAAGAATTTGCAAATTATCATATTTTATTTTTATTTATGTATTACACAATGTCGCAACTTCGTTGGAATGGGGGTTGTATAAAAGCAACACAAAGTTGTTGAGTAAGGAGGAAGTACAAAAGCTGTTTTTCCTTTAAAGTACACAACTGATGACACTAATGAGCAGAGATTATAATAAGTCTGCTCCCTCCCCTCCTGTGCTCAGACCAGTGTTCTATGGATGCCCGTGGTTTTGGGTCTTTGCATGCAGCGTGAGAAATTTCCTCTGGGAGTTGTAGAAAACGGCGCACAGCAGCGGGAATCTGCTGGGGACACGCAGCATTCCTGCAGTGTGTTTCTGACAGATAATAAACAGGATGATAGCGCTGACCCTGCAAACATCCTCTACCTGCCACACAGAATGCTGAGGTTTGACTGTCTTCACAGAGAGTACAAAAAGTAACACTCAGTTACAGGCTCATCCCGGGGCCCAAAGACAGCTTTGTGGCTTTAGGACATAGAAAAAGTAGACGTAAAGGCTTTTGTTTTTGATGAACAGCTTTAGATTTCCATCACTTTAGTAGAATTATAAATTCAAGTTCACTCAATGAGGAAATAAAAGCTTAGCAGACAGAACGATAGAAATGAAACGTATTGAAAGTTCATGCGACCATTCATTACAACATCAGATATTGGTGATAGTGCAGACACATGGCTGGTGTAGCCAGTGTGGACCCTCCCACCCTCACACGTCTGGATACATGCAGTGATTCTGTTAGATAAGCAGATTGGACCAGTTTCTCAGTAAAGGTTTGCTTATAAAATATTCACACCATTGAGATCCATTTTTGTCTTCCACACATTTTTCGGCACATATCTTGTTTGCGCTATTTGAACAATTTCAGTTCCTTCAGTACTTTGTCAGTTTATACATTTTGAGATATTTAGTTTTTTCTGCCAATTTTCTCTCATTGAAAATCAATGGAGGTGCCTTAAAACCATTTAAAATGTTCATAAATTACTATTCTTTTTACCTTTTATTCTGCTTCTGCTTTTTCTTAGCTCATTTGCTCTAATTTCAGCTTCCACTGGTTTCTATATTGAAGATTTGAGGGTTTTACTGCTTTTTAGCTATCATTCTGATCTTTTCTGCTTTTTATTCTTCAGCTAATTCCAACTTTTTTGCTTCTTTCAGCTTTTTTCTACTATTTTAAACATTTTAAATGCTACTTTCAGCTGCTTTCTTTTCATTTAAGCTACTTTTTATGATAATTTCATGTTTTGTGATAAATTCAGCCTCTTATTGCTTAACGCAAAGTCTTTGTGCTTATTTCAGCTACTTTTTATACCTATTTTTTGGCTAGTTTCAGCTTTCTCAGCTATTCAGAAAAGAAATTTCAGAAATAGGCATTCATAGTGCATTTTTGCAGAAAATTTAAATTCTCTAGCTATTATTTGATATGAACATAATTTTTAAACCTGGACTTTTGCCTTGGATGTTTCCTGTCAGAGGGGAGCTCACGCGCAAAAATACAGTTTTGTTGCTCCTGAGACGTGTTGGAGACCCATAGCAACTGTATGAACAGAGAAAAGATGTCACACCATTTTTTAACTCAAATGACAGACCTGTGAGACTTTTGACCAACCAGTTCAATTCAAACCCACACATTGAGCCCTGTTAAACTAAGTCAGGTGCTGAAAACGCTGCCTTAAAGACCTTTCTTTTCTGCTCTGGTGTCTGACTGTCCATCTATCTTATGACAATATGTCAAGTGGCTGCAAATTACAACTTTCAACCAATTTAATCAATGAAGTTGGACACAGTGAGCCAACAAATCACAGCAGAGCTAATTGTTGATTGTCAAATAGGGAACTACATCACTGGCAGCTTCATAAATCTGTGTTTCAAATACAAATAAACAACCTGATTCTGGGCTGATTGTGATTCTGCAAATCTTGAAAACAATCCAGCGGATTTAAAACGACGAAAACAGCCCACTTTTGAAAAACTCTAAGAATCCATTTATTTAATTAAGACGTTTGAATGTGTGGCAGAAAAAATTCAGCAGCCCCGCCCCCATCATCTACGCCCTACGCTCCACAACAGCAAGGTCCCGATCTGAGCAAGAACTCCATATTAGCAGCGACACCAGAGTCTTGCCCACTAAACAGAGAATGTTGCTCAGCCGGCTCCCAACGGGCAAAATCCTCGGCTCTGCTCCCCGAGAAAATGCCTACAGTGCATTTCCTGGCAGGCCTAACCCAACGATCCCATCTCAGATGCATCAAACTCAAATGAGACTCTCCAGTTTCATTGACGTGCCTGGATGGTGACGGAGATCTCACACCTTATTTGGTGACTAAAGTCTGAGGACTCACCTCCTGGTGCTCGGGGGCCCGACCGTGCAGGGGGGTGCAGATCTTTCATTTTATTGGGGGGTCTGAGGTCGTTCGGGAGGGCAGAGGGCTTGCGCTGAAGGAAAACAAACAAAAAAGGGACAAATAAAGTTTATGCAGAGCTGTTAACCTTCCAGTTTTAACCACTTTTTTTATTTCAAAAGTTAATGACAAAACTTTTAATGACAGATAGGCAAATAAAACACATGTATAGACAAAAACATTATTTTCTTTTTTTTTGTCTTTAGGCAACTAGCAGCAAAGAGTTGTGAATTCAAGGAAGCTAAAGAATTTCACAGAACTAAAGACCTTTTCCTGGAACAATTTATAAAACGCCCAAAAACAAGAACATAAAGAACAGAAGTTGCTTTAAAAAAGAAAGAGTTGTTTCAGTACCTGAGGTAGGACGCTGCTGGACGACTGTGTGGTGGTGTTCTCATCTGACGAGACAGAAAACACAAAGAGTTTCTGACTGCTGGCAGAGACTCAGAGAATCAGGAAGTGCTTTATAATAAAATCGTGTTTTATGCATCAGTCCGTCACGGGCCGACATGATGAAGCTGTTCTCAAAAACATCAATTCATTCGACATTTATACTCAAAAGTGGAACTATTTAACCAAAGCACTCGTTTTATTATTCTTAAGCCATAATTTAGTCACATGACTGAAGAACTGTGCTCCTTTCCTTCAGTTTGAGACAAATTTAATGAGTTTTAGTTTGTGAACCCAGCTAAAGTGGAGGGT